GATTTCTTGTCACCTAGGGAAAGAAAACAGGAGGGGGGATGGGATGTGGAAAGTGATACGATGATATCGTCGTATTATATCCCTTCTTCTGCTTCTACAGAAGCAAAAAAAAAGGATGGTGGTGATAATTGAAGTAAGAAAGTAAGATTTAACCCCAAGCCCTTTTCCTCTCAAGAAGGAAGGAAAAAAGAAAGTACACACAACATATATACCTATCATATCCCCCGTCTAACCGAATTCCCAACAAGAAAGAAATAATTGGGAGAAAAGGTGTTAAGGGGAGGGAAAATGATATGTGTGAAAAGCTCCTCCTCCACACGCGTGTATAAGTTCTCTCGATGACGCAATATATACCACCTCCCTCTATCTGTGCACGAATAGATTCGAAGCAAAAAGGATTCTTTGAACGTGTCCGACTCTCCTCCCTCCCTTCCATCGTATATATTCATCCCTGTAGATGGAATGAGAACGAACCCCCCCGTATAGAGAGATCACCGAAAGGATGGGAGAGGGGAAGTAAAAGAAAAATAAAAAAGTGTGTCGTCCTTGCCTGTGAACAAGAAGGGGGAGGGGTGTACGAGACGAAGATATGTCAGCTTTAGAAGGGGAATAAAATCCAGACACACGATCTGTCTCTCTCTTTCTCTCCACGATTTCTAAGAAGTCTTACGTGAGAATCTCTCTCTTCAAGGGACAGTCTAACAGAATTCGAAAGTCGCGTTGAAATTTCAAAAGAACAACTTGAAAATGTGTGCAAGGAAGGAAAATTGTCATCCCAAGAGGGGAAGAGGAGAGAAGGAGGAGACAAGAGGATAACAAAATTTTCACACAGTTGCCTCCTCTCACGGAAAGCGAACGAGAAGTTACAAGTGGAGAATAAAACCGGAAAAGGGATCGATTAGGATTCCAGAACGTTCCGCGAAGCGAACAGAAGGGGAAGGAAATCAAGAGACATAGCCCCGTCGATCCGTCGCATCCATTATTCCTAAGCGTATGAAGAAAGAGCAGAACCTGGTAATCCAGCAAATACGTTCGGTGTTCATCGTTGATTTCGCGATATACAGCTTTTCTACGAATTGGATGAAGCGGCAGGAAATCAGAGGAGAAGAAAATGTGCGACAGAATGGAAAACAAAATGGAAAGAAAAGGATACCGATAAGAAGAAGGGGAGGAGGAGAGGGATATTTCGAAGGTAGAAATCCTTCCTCCAAACGAGGAATGAATATATATGCAATATTCACGTAAAATTTCAATTCAATTTCGCCTCTGCGAATTTTCTAATTTTTTTTAATTTTAATGTTTCTTCTCGAAGAGATGTGTTTATTTATTCTGCGTAAATACATTATCTACGATTCGAGATAATTTATAATATAGAAAATTTAATAATTCTAGATTAAAATCACGCGATATTTAAATGATGCATCACACTCCCGATATATCCGTTTCAAAACGGTTAAATCATAACCCGTTCGATCGAGTTATTATCTTGTTTATATCGGTAGGATAGGAATGAAATTATCACGGGCGAATTATTAATTCGATCGATTATTAATTAAATTACGATTGTTTCTTCCCTTTAACGAGAAGAGATAACAGACACAAAAAAAAAAAAACGTAACATCCGTGCATAAACAAAACGAAGGGATCGCGATTTAAATACGAAGGGATCGCGATTACTCGAAAAGCCACGATCAAAGCCAGAGTTACAGAAACTCCTATTGTTTCATCGTGCATGCCGATCAACCGACTTTTCCATTCTATGCGCAAAGCGAATCCTTCGTTATTTGCAATCAACCCGCCCCTTTTCTCATCATTTATCGATCCTTGAAATAAAAATACCGTACGCAGAGGCGTGGAAGGCATCTTGTTTTCCTCGGGCAACCATCATCGGATGTCAATCGCGAAATCGTCGAAATTCTTCCCATTCTATTTCTTAGCATTCGCTCGGCGACAGGCTCTATCTAATTGGAACGAGGTTTAATCTATTCCAATCTCCTTCCGTATCCCCGAATATTCTTTTAATTAAAGTTGGCCGAGCATCGCCAGGAAAATTGGAATAATAATAGGTTTCGAGGGAGGAGGGGCGGTTGGAAACGGGTTGGAATTGCTAGTTTCACGTCACGTCGAATGGGACAGAGATAGGCAACTCGCCGAGGCTTCCGCTATCAGTGGACGAATGCCAATAAAACGCGGAGATAGCGAAGCCTCGGTTTAACCAGCTGTTGATGCGCCATCGCGAAATATGAACAAACTCGTGCACGCGAGTTAGATACCACGCTTTATACAACCATGATAACATTTAAATATCGGTCTACGGGTATTAAAAGTGTAATCGATGAAAAATCACGATTACACGCGTCTACACATATTACACCATATATATATATACATATCATTCGTTCAGCATAAACTAATAATTCTCCCCGTGAGCGTGCATTCTTTTTTCCTTTTTTTTTTCTTTTTTTTTTTTTATTCACGAACCAATTTTGTACGTCAATCCGTGTCCCATCCGACGTTTCGTCCGATATTTACGCGAACAAATATAAAACGTCCATCTTGCACGATTGCGCCACGAGCGAAACTTTTAATTCGAATATTCGATTACATTCACTCTCCCCCTCCCGAGTTCCCGCGCTCGATCGAATAACCGATTTGCGCGAGTGAAGGGGGGAAAAAAGAAAAAAATAGACGCTATCGATGCGCGAAAAATTTCGGAAGAGGACGAACTCGAAAAATCGAGAGGAGCGCGAAAAAACGTTTCACAAATTACACTCGCGTAAGGGAGAGGCGGGTAAGGAAATTCGAAATCCTACGTGAATGGATTCCTGAACGAAATTATGTGAACGACGATTATGAATTATTAACGTTTACGGAGAAACGAAATTGACCGAGTCAACCAACCTGCCATCCGATACGAGGGGACGTATCGAGTTCTTCGAGTCTCTCCATTTAACCAATCTCAAATAGATGTGGAAACGCGGCAGACGATTTCGGCGGACGATTAAATCCCTCCCCCTTCGCCTCGCGTGACGAAATGATCAGGGGGATAAGGAATTAAAGTCAAACTTGAGATGTATACGCGGAAATGTTGCAAACTTGCGATCCAACGTTCAATTTCTAAAGAAAGAAATCCAACTTGGAAAACATCTACTCGCTTCTCCCGCCGAAGATTTTCAACTTCGATCCCTTTCGATCGCTTTCACCCTGAGTCGAATTGAAAATTAGCGGTGAGCGATGAAAAGCGGTGAAAAAGCTCGTGCTGGATTAAAAGTTTCGGCGCGGGAGAATGGAATTAATCGGGTGGAAAACGATGGGCGATGGGGAGGGGGATCGAAAGGGAGGAATCGGTTATTCGAGCACGCTAATTGTTTAGCAGGGACGAGAATATCTGGCTGTAATTATTGACGTCCGTAATTCCTTGTATCTACATCGTCGTTTACCGACTTAGCAGGATAGCAAGCATCGTGGATGATAAGCTGATGGCGGTGATATATGGTTCCATTGTGATCGCTAATCACCCCTATCGAGGCCTTGTTCCAGGGAAGAGATCGTGTACGCGGGCGTCCATTTAATTATTAATGTAAAATCGGTTATTAATGCGTGATGAATTCCTCTTCCAGCTCAATCGATCAACATTTCGACACTCTCTTCCTCTCTTCCTTTCATTCTTTCTTTCTTTTTTCTTTTTTCTACGAGTAAATAGCTCCGCTCCATGGATCCCACCCTCTGCATTTCTGCTTAAGCAGGTCAAGAGATTATCTGGTGAATTATCGGGCGACATTCCCCACATGCATACGATACCACCTTGGTTTGGTCACCTCAGCAATGAGAATCTCCTGTTAAGGAGGAGCCTTAGAGAAATTTGCAATATTCCAAACTTAAACCATCGGTGGAATAATAGGTGGAAGAATAATCTACGAAACAATTTCAAACAATTCGAATAATTTGAATCCTTGCCCCCGCGAGAATTCTTATCGTAGATCGAATTTCGATTTCGAAAAATCAACGAAATTGATTGACCTTCTCTAATATAATTTTCATCGTTTCACAGAGAATTAGATTGAAAATTTCATTATAAATTATAATTCACGACAGGAAGTGTATATTGAATATTAACTCCAAAGTAAAATGCACGAATCTTCGTCGAGATCTCGGTTACCCCCGATCTCGATTCCACTCGTATCCCTTCTCACCAAAGTGACAAAGTTTCGCTCAGAAATTTGCAATTCTCGACGAAAACTCTCTCTCTCTCTCTCTCTTCAGTGTCGTGTCGCAGCTTCTGATGTTTCGCACTCGATAAAGCCAAGTAACGCAGCAAGCAACAATCCCCATAACGAGGGACCGTGCGATATCATCGGATTATGTCAACATCGCGTTACACCACCGACCTCTGCAATTTTGCACGCGCGATTGTAGAACGCCACGTTGCACTTTCTTCCGTCCATCTCGATGCGATTTAATTGAAACATAAACGATCCGGATTTTTTTTTTTTTTTTTTTCCTTTTTTTTTCGTTCGGAATGCAATTTCGTTGCAGGCTCGCGGGAACAATTGGCACGAACGAAAACGGCACGGGTTTGTAGTACGATGATCGGCAACAAGGATTTATGGAATGCGAGTAACGTACAATGACAGTTCATTCAACGCGTGTGAAGGGGGGGGGAAGGAGGGCGGTGATTTATGACGCGCAACAATTTAATAAATGTCACTAAACGTAACTGGGAATACAACTGGCCGTGCCGTAACGCACGTATTCGACGCTCTTCTTCAACACTTCTGTCAACAAGTTTTGGACATACGCACTGCTCTCCCTTGTTTCGATTCTACCCTCGATCGAGGGGACACCGTTAGACGAGGGAAGGAAGGGAAAAAAAAACACAATTTACTTCCATCAGAGTTTCAAGGATCGTTATTCGAGGCCGTCTTCTTTAATTAAAGAGAAATTTTTAAACTGCGCGAAACGTCAGTGAGTTTTTCTTTTCCTTTTCCTTTTTTTTTCACAAAGAAACGAACGAACCTCAAAAGGGAGATTCTAATTCTCCAGTTGGGAAAGTATGTTCTGCTTATTTTACAAGGAACGAGACAAAAATGTCCTTCAAGATATTTCGCGTCCCGCTATAAAAATTACTCACCCTCTTCTCCCCCGTGGGCCACGCGTTTGCCCACGTTCATCATCGGATGGAATTTTTCGTTTGATTAAATTTTTTCCGTGGCGGGAAACAGGATTAAAAGATTCGTCTCGGTCGCAGTCGAGTTGCATCGCGAAACGCATCGCATCCACCTCCCCCTCGTCCGCAAAATTGACCGCCGGAATCCATTTCCTGCGTGAAACTGGATCGCAAATCGCGACGAATATTGCCTTTGAAGCGGTGGACCGATGTTTGACACGTATTTAACCGAGCCACGGCCACGCCCTTCGCCCTTATTAACCGCCGGTTGATCGAACCCTCTTCAACGGGACGGGCTGCGCCGCCAAGATGCTCGAGACGGTTCCGCTATTCTTTGAATTATGGTATTTCGGCACGTACGCCCGACCAATTTCACACCTCGAGCACCTCGAGAAATTCCCTCGGTCGGGCACGAGTGGGCAAGAGGAGAAGTGGCGAGTCCAGTTCGATTATTATAATTTCGCAGCAAGGAAGGATCCACTTGCGCCCAATTTTAATTATCGAGAAATTCTTCGTTCGTTCGAATTCGCGACTCAGCGTTATGGATAACGTTTCTTATCTCTCTAGAAAAATAGCGAGGCTGATGATCTTTTTAAGAGAGAAAGTAGATAGTAGGATTCGAAATAAAGTAGTAAAACGTAGTAATGAACGTTTCTCTTTCGAGACGGTTTCACAAATACGAGGATGAATTATTCGTGGATGGTCGCGTGGTTAATCGGTTGGAAATCAAGCATTGAAGAACGAAAAAGGAAAGGAAGAACAGCGGGAAGTATTTCTTTCTAATAAGAACATGGACAATCGCGTAATTTTTTAATGGATATAACAATTCAGAATAATCGTTCGTTTCAATCCTTTTTTTCCGCGGATTGTACCTATTTTTCCTACTTTGATTGTTCGAACAAATGTTTTCTTCGAACGATATAGTTTAAAACTACATTTCTTCTGATCTCGCTCCGATTATTCCTTACCTATTACGAAAACGTGCAAGAACAATAGCGGAAAAAAGGTTACGCCCAAACTCGGCTACTTTTTCAATTTTTTCTATATTCACGACCCGATCCATCCGCTGTTTCGATCCGAACCAAGCTTTCCACAATCCCGCTCCCCCCACATTTTCAAACGGGCCGATATTGGTGAATAAAGATGCAGTCGAAGCAACGCCAACGGAATAAACAACAAGGTTTCCATTTCCTTTCATTAAATCTAATCTTCTTGAAATTTTTATTCGCTTTGAAGACTTCTCCCCCTTTCATCAAAAACCCTTTTTTCTTCGCCGCTCGTTTTCGAATACGCTTCAATATTTAAATAGCCGAATTATTTATCGGCGGCTACGTTGTTACGATATTCTCGTAACAACGATCCATTACAACGAGCGGAAGGAAGGAAAGAACAAAATATACACTCGATCCCCCGTCTCGTTATTCCATCCGCATCCTCGCTCGCACGGATATTTATTAAAACACAGACCGTTGCTCGATTCAACACAGGATCCGACTTAGCAACGACTTCGATCCACGACTCGAAATTACATTCCTCGTGATACTAGCCATCCGTGAGGTTATCGCCGGGAGGGGATTAAGACGGTGGTCGATCGCCGAATTCCCGAGGAGCGTGCCTCTGCCACGGGCCTAGATTTATTATCCCATTGTGAATTCCTTCGTGTCGCGATGTATATAACTTTTCTAATTACCAGAGAGTGGTGATGGCGCGCGATTATGAAGCGGCGCCTCATCGACAGCCGCCCAACCCTTTCCAAAGCCTCGATCCTATCGGGGTAACGCCGCCATTTACCCGGCTGACGTGGTCCCATTAAGCGCGTCAATCTTTCCCACAACCCATCTCCTTGTCTCGTAATTCTATCCCTCGATCCTGTCCTCGGAGAATAACAATAAACGGATCCCGCCAGAGTTGAAGTTTCGAGAGAGAGAGAACATTGAATGACTCTCGCTTCGAGTCATGATACATACTCTTCAGAAAGGAGGAATCTTTCGTCACGGATTTCGAGTTCCAAGAGACAACTTTTCTCGTCCATGCTTTTTTCCTTTTTTTTTTCACTTCTGTTTCATAGAGCGAGAAAGAATATCTACGATACTCTTCTATTCTCCCGTCGAGCGGTTTTCCTCCCCCAAACAGGAGCTAAACTTGCGTCAAGGTTAGAAAATTTCTTAGAGAATTACGAGTGTGTAAGTCGTCGAAGGAAACAGGGAACAGGAAGACGAATCGGAGAAACAATTACGGGGCGATGAAATGCTATCGAACTTGAGTGGTCAACTTCGAATGGAGAAAAAGATTTAAAAAGAGGGGGAGAAGAGAAAAAAAGGAACTTGACGAACTTGATCGATAGAAATTGGTTCGAGTTTGCCAATGAAATGGACCTGGAGATGGATCACGAGGGGACGGTCTTCGGGGACCTGCTTTTAATACCTTGCTGCAACCTTGTTCCAACCTCTCTCTACTCTCCACCTTCGTTCGTAGGTTACTCAGAAAAGAAGAATCCCGCTAGATTTTCTAACTCGGGACTAAATTCAATCTCGTGAATAAGTTACGGCCTGATTGAACACCGGCTGAACGCTTTTTCTTTTTTTTCTCCTCGACTTTGACAGAGGAAGAACGAAAACTTCTTTCGTCCCTCCCTTCTCCCTCCCGTCCAAAGGTTAGAGACAAGATTTTCCTTCCTGCCACCCTCGATTGCATTATGCGTGAAACTCGGTCAAACTGTATTAATCCTCGTTTTAAATTCATGCTTAAATTGCATAGGAGTAGCAAGTTGGGATACTACACTCTGTTGTATTAACCTTGTTTCGCCGCCAGTTTGTGTTCTTACCAGTTTCTTAAAGTCGAGTGGAACAATTGTAACAAATGGGAGGGAATTCCCGATTTCTTTCGAGCCGAGCGAATCTAAATTCAGATTTACCTTTCCCCGTGCATATTCGCAATAAAACGTCACAAACGAAATATTTCGCAATGACAAAGAAAAAGAAAGAGCAAGAGCGCGAAAACTCGAGTCGGAAAACGAGTTGAAACGATATCTTAAATTTCCATTCATAGAAAATTTTCGACCAATGTATATCTCTTTCGAAATCGATCCCGTCCAAAGTATTATAATAATTGAATCAGAAGAAGGAGAAGAACGGGCAGCGATTAAGGACAGAAAGGGTATTTCGGTCGTTCGGTTATTATCGCTTTATTCATATTTAAATCGAATTCATCCAACCCTCCCCTCATAAATAATCATCGCGCGGTTGATCGACGCAAAGCAGAATTTTACGTCGAGCAACAGGCAAACGGGGATGAGAAGAGTCGAGAGGGAAACGGGGACGACAACGCGAAATAAATCACGAATCGGACAGTCGCGATACCCATGCCTCATTCGATAATCGTCTCGTATAAAAAAGAAGAAAAAAAGATAGAAAAAAAAACGGATCGGATAAAGGACGAGCGATAAAAGAGAAGGTTGACAAGCCGGATTTTGCGATCGTCGGGATGGTCAGTCGAGCTGTTTTTCCATCGTTTCTGACGGCTCCGTTTGATCCGCAATTTTTATGACCGAGCTGGATCACCATAAATCCGACACTGGATTATTACTCGAGGTGCGAGATAAAAAAAAATAAAAAGATCATCGTATAAGTCGCGTTAATCGAATCGAATTTTCTCGGTTTCTCCCTTATTTTCGTAAATCTGCCTTCTTCTCGCTCCACCTTTCCTTCCACCTTGTTTTTATACGAATCTCCATAGAGAGAGAGAGAGAGAGAGAGAGAGAGAGAGAGAGAGAGAGAGAGAGAGAGAGAGAGAGAGAGAGAGAGAGAGTATA